GACAAGCAAATCGTGGTTGTTTCAATTACCATACTGCAGTTATTGTTTGCTAAATACTGCGGATAGACATAAAGTACTTGCAATGTTATTTCAAAATAATTAAATAGGTTGGTAGACTACTTCAGACTTCAATTTTACTCTCAACATTTAAAAACATAAAAATGAATTTCTGTTCGTTAGTATAGCTAAATCTAAAAATCACTTGACCGATTTTAATAATTTTCGTTTTCTTTTGAAAAGAAAAACAATTTTTTTTTAGTAATTTAGAATGGAAAACAGTCTAACTGATGCGCTTGTTCTTTGTGCATTTTTACACTATTCATCTGATCACCATGAAGCTTTTTTAGAGGCTCTGCTGTACATTAAGTGTCTAAGAGGTCGCTGTAGTGGATGGTATTGAATTTGAATTCAATGTTATCAAATCATTGTATAAGAAAAACGATTCTGAGAGGAGACGATAGGTCAGTTTAGGATATTTTATATTGTTAGTACTTATTACTAATATGGTAGGCGGTAGGTTGGATTAATATAATGCTTAAACTATCAGTGATGCTTGAAAAATATTAAATATACCTATGTAAAATTGGCCGTTTTTGGAACCGAAATTGAACACAATTATAACCGTTATTCTTTATGTAACTACACAATTTTGTCCAAATTTGAACATAAAATGATTGTGAAAAATAACTGTTTTCATAAATTTTTTAGATTTCTTAGTTATGGAAAAAACCGCTGTGGAACCTTGTTTTAAATTTTCAATCTTCAGATATAAAAATTGAAATTTTTAACTACAAAATCATTTTCAATTTTCAACTTGATAAAATATTGTCAACATTTTAACTTTAAATGCTTATAAAAACAAATTGTGCCTGCGTAAAAATTCCCGTTTTTCCTTGATTTTTTGTTTGTTTTTCCTGTTGCGTTTAAAAACTATTGGAAATTTTAAATTTTGACCTCCCCAACGCACCAACTGGATTCACTTACCTACCAGAAAATCTGCTATTTAAGAAAATCGAAGCACTTTTACCACAAGAAACCGTGATTACAGACACAAAAAAATAAATAAATAAATATAAAAACGCACATCATTGTAAAATCAATACATTCATCGCTTCGCTCGGAATCTAAAAGGTCATGTATCAATTTATATAGCTTACAGCCTGGTTTCTGAATAATCTATTAACATGAAATATTATTGAATGTTTAAAAATTATTTTACACATATTTTTATTACACGTGTTAAATTAAATAAAACGCAATGATAAAGATTTATTTTTATTTATTATAATGTTTTGAAACAATAGACATATACTTAAAGTACAACAAAGAAGATACTATATATTATGTACTATGCGTGTGCAAAAGGTAAGTGATTTCTTAAGTGGGGATTGTATAATACATTAATACATTTAGTTTATAAACGCAAATTATCAAGTTTTAAAAATTAAACTAACCTTGTGGTCTTATATTATATTTTTTAAGTTGTTTGAATACAATTTTTTTTTACCAATATTTGTAGAAAAAAACTTAGACATTTTAAATGTCTATAATTAGTTATAAAAATAACTAAAAAATCACGAAAACTATATTGTGTGTTCATGAATAAAAAATGCAGGTATACATATTTAGTAAATATGTTAATTATCAAGTCTTTTTTTTTTTTATTTCCGATATTTTGAAAAGTAGGTACCTCCAGGCAGGTCTGGGCAGTATCTTAGATACTAATATTTAAGATACGTAATTTGAATGTATCGTGTATTAGTTGTATCGTGTATTTAAATGCTATTTTGACTTGTATCTAGTATTTTTTTATTATGATTAAGAAATTCAAAAAATGATGTTTCATTCAAATAAAAGTTTTCCTGATTGCCCAATAAGTTATTGATCAAAAACATTAGTTTCCTTAAAAGATAACCAGGATTTTATTTCAAAACATAGTGTATAATTTTATAAATTACCCAAATTTAAACATTTAATAATTAAAAAACAAATATTGCTAATTTATAAATATATAATTTTTTCATAAAATTTGCTTACTGTGTACGTACCTAAGTGTTGTATAGACTATATATTTTTTCTTTTTTAAAGAAAATAAAAGATTTGTGTATTATAAGTATTATTATGTTAAAAGTATCCAATAACATTCGAAATTAAATTGTTAATAATAAATACATACCGTATTGTTATAAGTAATAATATGATATAAATAATGTAGAATACAATTTAACGCGAGAAAATTGTATAAAAGGTAAATGAAAAAAAAAATAAATAAATGTATAAAGTATCTAATCTCTTTAAAAATATTATAGTATCGTGTATCTTGTATCTTGTATTTAGATACTTAGCAGTTTGTTTACTTTCTTTTTTTAACTTTGACAAGTCCTGCACCCCACGGGGAATTTTCACATTTTACCATTAAAAAATCCAATTATCTACCAGAAACCCTTCTAGATATTGAAACATTTTTTTTCCAATAAAAAGTGCCTAAAAACAAAATTTCGACGAACTTAATATTTTTGAAAATGTTATCATCAGAAAAGCGGGAATTTAAAGCAGAACCAGTTTTGGCCAAGTTTGATTTGGTCTTTTTAGCGGACCTCAAAACCGATTAACCATAGATATTTGAATTTTTTTACCAAATGTTTATATTTCTATTTTCTGTACATTATAAAGCTTTCAAAATATATTGATTCTTTTTAAGCTATTAAAAGCACAAGAAAAATATGATTTTTATTCATTTTTTAATAGATATTTTAAGTTCAAATGTGGACGAAATTAAATATTTAAACAAAGAATTACAATTTTAGTTATTTTATTGTAATTTAAAAATATTAACTGTGGGTACATTGACAATTCTCAAGTAGGTATATGATTATATTTTATACACCCAATATCATTTTCAAATGCAATTTTTCTAACATTTACTGTATAACTTATATCTAATAATAAAATTAATGTCTTTAATAGTAATAATATCATAAAATATATTTATAGTAATACCTATAGGATAGACAGTTTTTGCTCAGAATCGTTTTTCGTACACAATTATTTTAAATCATAGAATTCACATTTAAAAAACCCACTACACTGACCCACACAACCTAATGTATAACAGCTCGTGTCCCAATTTCCCACTTTTATCCCCTTTAACCACACAAACATTTCAATAAAAATAAAATGTTTAACAGAAATATTGAACGAAAACACATTTGAGATTGGCTATTAAAAAGGTAATATTCTTTAATTTGATTTATGTATTTTACTTTTTGATTTTCTAATGTCACTGCAGGTGGACATTAAACACGAAATTATCATAGCCTATTTTTCATTATGGCGATTGTAAATACGTACATCGCGTATACTTTTTTTTTTATTGATCATTATAGCTTAGGCAGCATAAGCCATTAGCTTGTGAGTTTTATACAATTATATACTTATAAATATATGCTTATAATAGGAGAGATAAAAAAAAAAATTTATACAAAATTAGTGACTTATTCTATTTGATTATTATACGTTTCTGTCTAATTTTAATGCCTTGAGGAACGGTATAATGTTTTCTGGTAGGTAGTTGGGACCGCGCATATACTTGTATATAGTTGTATACAAGTACATACTGTGTATATAGTTATTCATGCATTATAAAATGATTGTTTTATTTTAAGTATTAGGTACTATACAATGAATTAATATATTTTAGTTATCACTTTATTTTCAATAATCCGTTTGTTAAATAAATTAATAAAACTGAAATCCATACAAAATGCAATGTATTATGAATTTTCAGTTCGTGTATATTTTTTGTTAATATGTATATACACCACAATACATTTTGTATGCCATACAATTAAGTTAATATTAAAGCTATTAGCATGCGTGCTTCAAATACTTAACAATTAAAATCTTGTAAATGTTTTCTAAGAAATTTTTTTTTTAATTTGTTTATATTTAAACAAAAATTGTTGATTACAAGCAAGAAGACGGCTAAACGATTTTTGATACAAGAAATCATAAAATATATGCGTCAGACAGTTAAACCTATCACTTCTACAAAAATGACTTAATATTGTTAATTTTAAATACTATTGGTGGAATAAAGGATCAAAGTATGATAGTGGAATTGTTATTGATGTATGTTGTAACTCACAACCTTATATAAATAATAAAATGTATTTAAATTAACGTATTGCAACTAATGTCTAATACACAAACATCATAATATTAACACAACACAACCTAATTATGCTAACCGTAATTTCGATCAAATTTGCTTTAAGCAATATAATATTAGGTACCTAGGTATAAACTATTGGATTAAATTTACACAATTTTAATAACATTTCCTTAAGTAATATAGTAGGTGGGTATAAGTTATTGGATTAAATTAGCAGCTATTGAAAGAATAAAATAAACTGATAAATACCTAGGTACAAACAATCTTTATCGGAATACTTTTAATTTTTATTCAATATCCGTTTTTAAATCATAAAATAAAATATAATAATAATCATTATAAGGCATAATTTAAGTTTACCTTTTGTACTTAGTACATAAACCGTACAAGTTATCGCTATTAATAAAATAATAATTACATTTTAACTGAATGAGGCAGATATAGTTCTTTAAATCAATTAATTTCATTGTTTAGTTTTACAAATTAAATAAAACAAAATTTAAACAGTGAAATCTAACGTAATTGTAACTATTTTCCTAGAACATAAACAACTTAAATTTACCTGTAAACGTATGTACCTATGTTTTAGTAATGGAATCAAATAATTTTAATTAATTAAAACCTAAAAAAAAGTCAGACGAATGTTTTATTGGTCTGTAAGTACCTTTCCTTATAAACTAAGAAGTATAAGAAGACTATACAAGTTAGTTTTATTTCATATCTGTACGTAATTATTATGTTGTGTGCCAAAGTTTTTATAAAATAATGAAAACCAAAATATATTCAATTTAAACATATATTGTAACAGAAAATTAGGATCACTAACCTTGACTAATTCTTTGAGACGTTCTCTGTTGTATGTGCTACCGATTTCCTCGCCGAGCGCCCAATCTAACATCTTACTGATGGGCCAAGATAGCGGGGTAGTAAGCACCATTACGGTTTTCGTGACGTAAATGGTTTTGGCACCGATGGCCAATCCATGACGTGAGCAAACAGCTTGAGGAGTGATTTCGCCAAATATGACAATGGCCAGTGTAGAAGTAATGACCGCCACCAAGCCGGACGTCAAGTCATCCAACAGAATGGTAAATATCGAATTGACCATGACGTTACCCAATAGAATACTACATAGCAAGTAGTTACCATGAATACGCACAGGCAATATAGCTTTAGCGTACTTTCGCTCTGCCTCTGTGCCCGTATTGCAAATGATCTTCAGGTCCATTCGATTCAACGACATCAGACCCAAGTTTAGACCGGAGAAAAGGGATGAGAATGACAAACACGTGAGAATAATAGCAACCTGCAGCCAGAAAGGTAGCATTTTTTCGTACACTCCCATCTGTTTGTAATATTCGCTACCCATATGTGTCCAAATCGCACCGGACTTATCGCTCTCTTTCGAACAGAAGTAGAATATCGTACCTGCTTTACTGGCTTGCGGCAAAATGATGTCCATTTTAGCTGTGTTTGGTTCGTTCGGTAAAATAGTTACCTGAAAATTCCATGAAAAAAAAATGTTTTTATGATTTTATCGAGAACATTTTTTAAAAGCTGATCATAGAACCGTATTTTAGCAACTATTAGTATGGCATTTAAAAGACGATTGTGTACACAATGCAGTTTATTAATGTATGTTTAAAGTGCATACAAATTAATTAAGAAGTAGAAATAGTTGGATACAATTTTAAGTTTTTATCATGAGATTAAAAATTTGATTGTAATACCTATGCGTATTACTTATAGGAAATATTATATAAAAAATAACTACTAATAAATTTAACTCTAAATTTTAATGATTTAAGTTTAATGAAATACAATAATAAATACTAATATACCGAAACTATATTTTGATTAACATAATATAGTAAATAACAAACTTTTGATATAAAAGTGACTGAAGTATTTTCTCATAATCACACAATGGTAAAAAACCAATAATAGTAGAATAAGCGAGAATAAAATGAAAAAAATATTTAGAATATAGACAATTTTATGTTATACTACATCAAATAAAAAAGTAAATTTAATAAATAAATATGATACGTACTCCTTGAATTTCTCCAACGGGAAACTCACACGGACCCCCTTTTTCACCAATTTTTTCCGTAAGAACAAATATTGTTTTTTCAGTCCATTCACTACCAAACAAACGAAACGACGCATTTCGTTGAACCAGTAACTGTGGTACTCCTCGATCGTCGTAGTCCACCGCTGCATCTGAGTACTCAACCCGTAAGCCATAAAAGTTTACTGGAGATATGTAAGCTGTACCTAATGGGGTAACATTTTTTAATGTTGTCCCTTGTTGCCTTCTCTGCCTACAAGAAAAAAATACCAATTATATAATCAGCAGCATTCGGTTGACTAACTAAACTATACGTACACAAGCATTCTTGCTTTATATAATATTTAAATAAATATTTTGGAAAATAAACTTTAAAAGTGATTTAAATCTGATTTCAGTGTCTTAAACGCATCAATGCAATTCTACATTGATTAATACGATGAAAATATATCATACAACTAAAAAATTCATATATTGTTTGTGTGATACATAGAGCGAATCACAATTTAAACTATATGTTGTCCTCATAATGGAGACGTCATACAAATTTACAATTTTAAAATAGAAACATACCATCATATAGGGATTTGGCTTCCATTATATATGAAAATACAACTTGGGGTAGCAAATAATATTCTTAACAATAAATTTGATTATAAAAGTCAATTTACTGTAACAATGAAAAAACACAGGGTAAATAATACACTATAGAATAAAATTAAAACGTGAGATTACAATAATTAATTACTTTTGTGGTAAGTTACAGTTATGTTTGTAGCGATTTAATAAGACGACAAATGTCTATGTATGGCGTCCTCTTAACTACACAACTCCACATAGTAGAACACGCTAATATTTTTAAGAAAAATAAAATAAACACTGTTTAAACTGCTAACGTCCTCCGAATTTATAAATCATAGTCCGAAACCAAAAATACCTCCAAGATCCTGATTTAAGTATGGTTGAGTATAAGACGAACGATGACAAACCAATTGCCAAATAAGACACTCACAATGATTTTAAGTTGATTATGATTGAGACTGATGAGACAATTAATATGCTATTTATGTTAAATATTGATGCAGCTCAGTTGACGCTGAATACAATTATTGATAGTCTATTATTTTTTTTATCAAATAAAATTTTATTTCTTCAGATTTATTTGTGAAACAAATCATTTATATAAACTTTTATTAATAAGTATGGGCACTACAGTTATTATTAAAGACATGTATTCATGCAATTAAATTTATTGATTGATGTTATTCATAATGAAATAATTAACTATGACTGTCTATCAAATAGGATTTTCATATGTTAACACATTGTGTTAACAGGTACCAATACTAATAATTCGTTTGAATTAGATATGAATAGTAATATTTAATGAATTTATATTCAGGATCTGTATATAATCAACAAATTTTAAATCAATTAGAGAGTCAAAATTTCAATATAAGATGAAAAAAGTAGTAACTGTATAAATACCTATATTTAGGTTTTTGTATACTGATATTATCCCTGTATTATTTAAAGTGTTTTACACAAGTCAGTCATGAACGCAATGAAATTTTCGAAATTTTCGCAAAAAAATTGTTTACAGCTTATTTATTTCTATTTGTCTTTGGAATTCAAAAATTTGTTTTAAAAAGTACCTACATGTAATTTAAAATGTTTAGTATCATCGTTATTAAAATTCGAGGTGTAAGTGTATCTACAAGGTAAAATGCTGTGCAGAATATAGAAACGAATTAACTAATTACAATTAATTTAGAACACGAAGACTACATTGAAATTACTTTTAAATAGTAGTTTCAAGTATTGTTATGTTATATGCATAAGGTTTTTAAATATTTTTGATAAGAGCATTTGATGGATATGTAATTTTATATCCCAGTGTTCGAATAATAGACTACGGGGCCAATATATTATATAAAAAACACGCCTAAATTATAAAATATTCATCCTAGCCATGGATTTGAGATTAACAATGGCGGTTTTAAGTAGTTACTAAATAATACAACTCGAACGAAAATACACTCGACGTAGAAAAACTTATTATTAGACATTGATTACATTTAAATTGGAACATTTTAAAATCTTTATATCACATAATGAAAATAATTGACATAACATATTAATAAAAATCAGATTTTGACAATTACTCGATTAAAATAATCATGAAGCAAATTTATTATGTAAATAAACGTGATCATAATATGATGATATGATACAATACGCCAACAAATGAAGACAACTGATAAGAATAATTAATACAACATTTAGTTATATTAATATTTAAAACGCAAACATATATTAAAAAGTTTAAAATAATAAAATTTTAACTTAGTTAAGTATTTTGCAGATCTCCAACTGTATACTGATTATTTAGGTAGGTTGCATGCATGAAGGAGAATATATAATATATATTTTTTTTAACGTATATATATAGAACTACAAGTTTTGTGGAAAATTGTTGAGTAATTCATCAAGCGTCATGTGCATTATTTGAATTAAAACATATTTTTAGAATTTGAAATTCCTCCCAGTAAAAATGTATATTAAAATCATTCGATTAAACATAGTATATAAATTGTGAATTGAAGAATACTGTTTCTTGAAACCAAACAGCGTGATATTAGCTGCGGTTGAAAGCCTTCCTTAACAATTACTAAGACCCAAACGAAATACTCGTTCAAGAATTGATACTACATTACTACACCCAATAAAAACGAATAACTAAACCATAAGTATATAGCTGCACTAATTTAAATTAACATAACATACAGTAGGTACTCCCCATGTGTCAAAGTTTCTCACCTGCTTGGTGACGAATCCAATGAATTTTCCGTGGACTGAGCCATTTCGTCGGATCTGATAGCTACCGAATCACCCTGGTTCACCCATCGACCATCACCGTCGTCGCCAGAACCACTAAACACGCTCCACAACGACGAAGTCAGTCCGTTGGGTGGTTTTCGCGGCTCATACGTGCATAAGTATACGTTTCGGGTGGTCAAGTCTCGATCAAACTTGAACGTGATGCTCATCAACAAGTAAGTACCATTTGTCCACAACTGAAAAATAAAACACAATAATTTTCATTCAAATGTTGAAAATGTGAAAATTCACCACAAGCAAATTGAAAGGCATGTTAATCCAGAAAGCACAAAACGCATACCAACAAATATTATCAGCATAATAGTCTATTCTTATATACTAGACCACGAGTCTTATATAATATTATCTAGGCTTTCTAGTTTATACACTACTATGGCACGGGTCGCCAACCAGTCGATTTTTAGAGGAATATTGGTCGATCGCATTTAAAATTAACTGCACCAACATCAGTTGATCACGTAATTTTAAACACATTTACACTCTTAACTTTTTATTTATTTACAAAGTAAAGTATATACTTATTAGCGAAGAAAAAAATATAATTTTCCAATGTAGAAATGATAAAAGAAGAATATTTTTATACTATTTATCATTAAGCTGTACTTAATAATAGGTATAAAATAAATAGTGGTCGATGACCAGTTACTTCAAATGCTTAAAGTAGCTCACTTTTTATTGGCTACCCCTGCTTTATGGAGTCATACGTGAAAGTACGAAATACTTTTAAAATAATGTTAAATAAAGTCGATAGACACAAAATATTCACCTATTTTTATATAACAGTATAAATATATATTAAAATGGTAATTTTTAAAAGCGATAGACCAAAAATATAGAAAATACAGTAGGTATTGTCAGAGACTAAAAAGGAATTACACCATTTTCAAAAATAATTAATTAACAAGAAAGATATCTTCGATTATAATCCAAATTCTAGTATTCTTAACATGTTTTAAATTATGATATACTGCAGTTTAAGAATTTACCACACATTGCGATAACAGTATCAAAAAAAAAAAACGATAGAACACGGATAATAATTTCATTTTTAAGGTTTATGAGGGGCAGTGTCTTAGCCACGGGAGGTAGGCTGGTGGGCAAACCCCCTCCCCCCCCATCGAAATTTCAAGAAAACAAAAAAAATATTTCTTTGGTCTATGAAAGTTACTGTAAATACAAATTTGTAGAGCCGTACAGGAACCGAAACCTAAAATAAAACCCCCGCATCAGTGCGCTAGGTACTTTAATATAATATAATATGCGGACATCACGCACTCTTATTGAAATTGCATCCAGCAATTAATTAATAATGCAATTACCAAACAATATAAAATGAATGTATCATAGTTATAGGTTAGTAAATAGGATTAGTTAGATAAACGTGAGTCGTCAAAAATAAATTTTGTATTTCTATCATAAAATATAACTGGCACGATATGAAATGGTTCTTTGAGCATATACAGAGTGATCCATCATGTTTACAGTAGTAGTTAATAATTTTTTTCAAACTTATTTTTCCAAAATTTTATTGATAAGAAAATATAATGATTTTCATTTTTTTAGTAGGTACATAGGTACAAAAGAAATTAGTAAAAATCTTATTGTAAAAAATTAGTTAGTAACTGACCGACAAGTACACGATGTGACGCTGTATACATTAACGTATGTATGATTGCAATGTATGTATAAGTGATAATGTAATGACTAATGAGATAAAGAATTGTTTAACAAATAATATACGAATACCTACCTACATTTTACTTACACGAAATTATGAATGAGATAGACAACATTTTATAGTATTATAAGTAGTATAGTATAAATGCCCCAGTTATAGAACAACAAATATGTTAAACCTGTTTATAAAATACATTTTTGTAATTTATTTATTATCACTTGAAGAAATTCAACAAAATATAATTGAAGTACAAGTAACAAAACACGAAACAGATAAAATAAAAATGTAAATTTTCGTAATAAAAAACATTTAAAAATTTAAAATTCCTTCTATTGTATTGAAAATATTAATAAATAAACACTTGAGTGATTCATTATTTACAGTAACCAAAATTGACAACTGTACAATTTTAATCCATAAAAATCTGATATTAGAACGTACGAAAACGAGAGGTGCAACATTTTAAGCTCTAAGCCCAGAGCCAAGCAACATCTAAACTACTTGAATACATATCTGGAAAGAAACTCGTCGATCAAATATAACACAATTATAAAATAATAAATTATGATACACAAAATATTGTTTTATTTAATTTTATAATATTATAATTTTTTCTCTCCTTTGTAAACAATATTACTATACCTAATACTATAAACATAATTTTATCAATTACTTTATGTTACGTAGATACCTCAGATAATTTATAATAATAACAAGAAAAATAAAATCTGATATTTCTTTAAATTAGTTTGTCTATGAAAAAACAGGATACATCTTCAATATATTTTTTGCATACAATGTATGTGATCACTATCGCTGATTTTAAATGGAACTACTTATATAATAATAGATAGATAATAATATGATAGATTGTTAATAATTTTATGGAACGACTAGAAAAACATTTTTAAATAACACATTGTAACAAAAAAAGTATAAAATTACAAAAAATGCAATACTTCTTTGTGACAATTTAATTAAAAAATAAAATAACAGGTATGCATAAAATACGCAAACATTTTTATACTTAGAATTTCAAACAAAACTCTATAGTCAATAACTACAATATATTTTTAAATAACCAATTAATAAGACACGATGTTTAAAATGTACTTGGGCAGGTAGATATATTTAAACTGTATCTGCCTATAAAAAAAAAAAAATTTAAAAAATTGGTTGATTTCATTAATTTCAACTTAAAATTAAATTTTCACTGATTGCGTATCTGTTCAACAGGCCAATAATAACAGGCAACAGATAAACACACGTAATTTACAAGAATTTATCAATTACGTAATATTTAGTTTGCACAGTGATTGTATTACGCAGCACTGGAGTTCATTCACTATTTAACTAATTTTCTAGGACTCATATAACTAAACGTAAGTAACCGTGTTTTAATACCCATCACGTATAAAACATTTCCAAGAATAAATAGATTCTTATTTCGTTTACGTCGATATTCTACTTATATTATGCTTTAAATTAAAAAGTTAACTATCATAATGTAACCAAAGCCCAAAGGCATACAATTATGATGAAATGTATCGTCATTAAAAGTATAATAGGTACTACAACTTCCTAATAAAACTGATTGCATACGAATTAAAACCCAATAAAACATATTAGAATGAATTAAGTTCCAGATTTTTTTAAGGCGCCTACATACTAATTGAGTCTCGTGAAATTTAAAATATAACACTAATTGAGTCCATGTTTTAATTACGAACATAATTCCCCGTGCAAACTTTGAATAAGAAACACTTTCCTTCCCAGTTGTACAAACTTTTGACTTTCATAATAAAAATTCTACAGTTATGATTAAAAATGTTCTTTTTTGTGTGTTGATTTGGAAATATTTGATAAACATATGTAATTACTGTATTATTAAGTGGCTTAAAATAATAAATAAATAAATTGAATGTCTTCTATCGGTAAAAAACATAGCAATTTTTTTGTAATTTCCTTTGCTTTAGTTATGATATAATTTAATTCCGTTAATATAATAATTCAGTATTTAACATTGTTGGTATTCCTTTTTTTAACCAGAACATTAAAAATGATAATATATGGACACAATTGATATACCTTTATGGCATTTTCAAAGTGCGGACTCAATTGGTTTATATTTTTCTTTTATACCAGGATTCAGTAGGTATACTGTTATTTCTTCGTTCAGGTAAAGGACTTAATTGGTATGCACCGATAAAACTAATAAAAGATAAAATAAGTTAATTAAAATCTCTCCATAGTCAATATCAACAAACTATAGGTACCAGGCACTTTAATGAAAATTTTAGGTATGTAAATTAACAAAAATTACGTAGTTATACTATGAGATTACTATAAGCAAATATCAGTAAGTACTTAGTACATAATAAACTAACAACAAAAAATAAAATATGTCTTAAAATATGTATTCAATTCTATGAAAATACCTCGAAAAATACTTTATGCTTAAATAAATTCAATTATCAATAATGAACAGAACATATTTGTGACTTGTGTACCTATAATATTATAATGAAATTTAAAAAAATGGTTCGATAGGTTCATTATATTTGTATAACTTTACCTAAACCAAACATTTAACAAATAGGTAAGGGCACATTATTTGACTATAGCGTTATAGCTGATAACAAATGAAAAAACCAAATTATAATGTGTTAAATAAACGTGAACTTGTATAAGCTAGGTAAAATTATTTTACAGTCTTATTTCATTTGAAATTTATTTAAATAATACTTGTTATTATTTTAATTTCAATTTTACACAGCGTAACATATATTTTTTTAAGCCACATAAGTTGCAATCTTAGACTTATCTGGATAATATTCGAAGTTCTTTAACAAAGATACCCCTTTTTAATTTGTCACTCTTATTTTCAAACATTTAATACAAAATAAATGTTCACATTTTCAGAGTAGACCAAACATCTGTATAAATATGAAATATGAATACCAAGTACTTAACATTTTTACTAGGTTTTAATCGGTTATTAATGAGTTCTTAACACTATATTTTTCAAAAGAAAGGTTTGCTAAGAGTATATAATACCTAGACGTTTTACATTTATATTTTAACATGTTTGACGTCGAGTATGTAATTTGTTTGACAAATCTCGAAAAATTATTTTTATTCAAAAGTTTATCATGATTCTTACTTAATATGGTAGGAAAAAATAAGTAAAAACATTAATGTTCCCTAGGAAAACCATATAAGCTAATACTGAACTATAATGAATGAATAGAAAAAGTGTTGAAGTATCTTTTTACTCCGACTTTTGCTAAATTGTACAATAGAATTATGTTATAATAAAGAATTATTAATTTACCTAGTGCTTAAGTGAGCATATTTCTTTTCATTATTTAAGGAATAATTACATATTTATAGTAAATTATTAAGTCATCATAACCACAATTAAAATTAAATTGCTCTTTCCGTATAGGTTCTAATAATAAATGAATAATTATAAAGACGAGAAGGCTCCACGGAGGT